GCTCACCCGGTGTTCCCCCCAGACACGAGCAATGCTTCGGAGACATCGGTGGTCAAACACAGAAAGTCGATTAGCATCCTCCGCTCGGAGAGGCCAGGTCTCGCAACCGTAAAGCAGAACGCTACGAACTGCGGCGATATACACCCTTCCCTTAAGGGACAATCGGATGTCATGGCGGCGCCACAGGTGTCGCAGGTTGGCGAAAGCTGCTCTAGCTTTCAGAGAAGCGAACTTCACTGATCGCTGCCAAACTCGCAATGCATATGCACTGGGGTTTGATGGACGGGTACTGCTAGGGTGTCGAGCCACTAGGCAGGAGAACGATTAGGATTCTCAACCGAAGTGTTTGGTTCTGACGAGAACTTAGCCGCAAGTTAGCGGGTGAAGCGAAGTGGATGCCCATTTACTTGGGTCAATTACTGCTCCACTATTTTCTACCGACTGAAGCGCCAATTCTGGTCGAACCCCCAACCTGGAGGACCACGAACTGGACTTCGTCCGACCACTACCCTTCGACCTTCCAGGTGTGGTTAGATCTTTGGTCTGACAAAAACCATCCTGTGTAGCTCGTTGGGATAGTGAGGTGCACAAGCCATCACACCACGTCAAGGTGCAGTCTGGTCGTGATGATGCCTTGTCACCTATCACCTGTTTGTCTTTTTCACGTTTGCTTTGCGTAACACCCTTCACCCGTCACATTAGTGATGGTGTTCGTTAAGCGATAACAATCAGGATAGTTTCATCGTCAAAAAAACCGTTCCGGCAAAAAAGAATTCGATCAATAGGAACATCTAAGGAATGGTAACAGGTATGGTGAGTGCGGAACAACAAGTTTAGTGTGAATTAAATTTAACCCTTATCGAGCAGCGAGAAGTCCTCTTCACTGCATCTAACTGTAAGACGAACCGGTATCATAGACCAAAGACTAGTTTAAGTTCACTCCTCCACAATTTTGCACTTTCGTACCCAGATATTTCTCGTCATATTTCGGCAACACATCGAGTCAAACACGAAAAACTTTCGAACCAGCAAAGGCTAAGCGAATGCAACTATAGGATGCGAGCAAACCAGATATGTGGAAAAGTGAGTGAATGCTTCAGTGCGACTGTTAGTGAAACGCAATGTTCTAGAAAATTGATTAGGTCAGTCCCGTAGACTCCAACCAAAATAGAGGAGAAGTTGATTAGTAAGGGATTTGACTGCTTCAGACCAGATAGAAGTATAAACACCCTGGAACTTCTTCTGCCTTCTGATGGTTTCATCGATAAAGCGATTTCACCTCGGTGCACAAAAAATAACACCAATAGCAGATCGGATAAAAAATGCAGTCCAACAAAATTCAGTGCAGCGATAACAGAATCCAAAAACCTCCCGAAAATGAACAGTAAACAAGAGCTTGTTTATGATAAAGACTAAGCAGATGCACATCCTCCATGAAGAAATATTAGGAGCCCGATGAGCTCTGTGCAATGGAGGTGCGTAAATGATAACAAAAACACTAACAAAAAACGTAATAATGAGCTCACCCCGTCGTCTGAGATATTCGGCCATAAGTGCTGCTGAATGTAGTTTAGCCATAGCTAATTCGGCCAAACTTTTCGTTGCCATATGAAGTTTGGCCAACTCCTCAAGCCATGTCCTAGAAAAGAGAAACATGGGAATCACCGAAGCATCCCAAGCACACATCAATGTGAACGAGTCAAACGCGAATGTAATAGGTGGACTCCCTTAACTAAAAAGGAAGACAAGTAACAGTGCAAACCACTGATAAGGGATATTTCTTGCTCCGGATACATGACCTAGCCACCTACCTCACACAACTGTTCCACTGCAAATGTACCCTAAGCAAAATGTAACTGTGGAGGAAAGAGTCATCAGTTTGGTTAAGTGATACGGCATTGAAATTATTGGAATGAAAAGCAAATGTTTCCACAGAACCTGTTGGCCATGGGGTGAATGAGAAAATCCAAACATGGGTCACTAAATGTGTTTTCCTTTCGCCGAACAAACAGTACTACTGAAAGAACTGCATTAGATTGAGAACCGCTGTAAGAAGTGAATCGAGATCTTCCAGGTAAGTATTTTTGCACTGTGTAGGCAACAGCGTGGTTCAACGGCTTGTGGTGAGGGAATTAACTAAGAACGATCAATGCAACTAAATCAAGGATACACATACGAAGAACCATGACAGTGGGTCAAATTTTTCAACTTCTCCTATTGGGAAGAGGACGTGTATAGTTATTCAACCCTTCGCGCTTATTTTCCCATGAATACATCTGTTGAAAAATGAAGTGGAACGACTGGTTCGCTCAAAAGCATACATTGTAAGGGCAAGTGGGTGAAGTTTAGTGAGGGGTTTAAAATAGTTTTTTTATTCTAACCTACCGACGGCAATATTCTAATGATAGTGTGAAGGAGAATAGAAGCAATTAAATTATTGTGACACAACGCAACAATAAAAATGCATATATATGAAAATATATAATTGAATAACACGCTTAATTACAAAAAAACAATGAATTGTCGTTCATGTGTGTGGAGAAGTTTCAGCAGCCGACGAAGGGTGATGAGTTATTCTAAGCACGAAACTTGTTCTCCTCGTTGTGGATTTGTCTATCACAAATGGGACTCAGTTTACGTAATAAGACGGACACTGGAGCAAGTAGACGACCTTCATAGATTACGCTGGTTGGGGCATGTGTTACGCATGCCCTCAAATAGGTTGTCACGCCGAGCGATGTTTGCTGAGACAGGTACTGGTTGGAAAAAGGGTATAGGCGGTCGAACGAAGACATGGCATGAAAAACCTAACTAGGAGATTAGGTCACATAGGTCCCATTAGGCTTCCTGACTGGAGACCCCAAGATCATAGTCACCGATATTTAGAGACACTGAGCGAAATAGCTGGGTGTCACAAACGGTGGCGCTCATGCATCTGCTCATTTTTTTCGCAACATCAGTCTATATGAATTTTCCATCTTCCGCTTGAATTTCTTCTCAACATTCGAATCGTCATTCTGTTCTTTTATCCAAATGGTTGACCAAAAGACAGCAACCAAAACCGACGCACGAAAGTGCATGGTTATTGGTTGTAAAAAAATGAAACTGAATAAAACGTTCTTTAAAAGTCAAGGCACCATACGAATTAGACTCATACCCCTTTGAGTTGGAATGAACATTACGACAGCCCCTCCTTTTAACAAGTGTTACATTCGATTCTCCTCGTGTCAGTGGTATCTTCGGAAACAATTAGGTAGGCTCTCTCAGAATAAATCATCCCCTGCCTTTAAAGAGCGCTGATGGGATTTTCGCTTCTGTGGGAGGCGCCATGGATAGTGACCATGGCGAAATTCGAAAGAACCACTTGTGATAGCCAACGCAGAAGGATGGTTGGACTGGGAAATGAAGGGCTTCACCTAGCGTTTCAAGTGCCGATGAAGACTGTATATTGGCTCATAGTGTAATTCGCACTTCTTTTTGCTAAAACACTGTCTTTTTGGGCTAGCAGCGAGAACAAATTCAACAGCCAACGGGTGTTTCCGCAACTAGTTGCTGATTGGAACTCCTTTGCGCGAGGCGCCCACTAAGTTTAGATAGTAATAGGCAATAATGATCTTGTTTCCTTCGATTAGATATAGCTGTGCAATCAAATTTTAGTAAGGATTTGGCTTCTACCGATCCAGAACTGCCTGAACAGTTCTTTGAGAAAAAAATTGAGCGGCGGTGTTGGAATGAGGAAGTCATCAGATTTACTATGATAAACATAACGTTCTCATCTATCGTGGGATGAGAAGAACAGTGGAAAAACAATCCGAGGACACTGGAGAGTCTTGTGAGAAAAGAGGCAGAACAGATTTACATAAAAGCAAAATGAATAAACTCACCGCCGAAGCGCTGGATTGCTACCGTATGACTTAGCCAAACAATATTGCAAATCAACCAGACGCTCGTGGTCATCATTGTGCTGACGCATCTCGTTCGTAGCAGTCAAAACTGTGCGAATGCGCCGAAGCAAATCATTCACATCGTCCCCGAACATTGCGCGCGCCTCTGAACTGGACCAGAATTTCGCTTCCGGTGTGATAGAGCCTGTATCCCCGGGTCCCCGACGCATATCTGTTTCTACCAGAGTATGCAATAAATTCAAACTGGCCTCAAACCCGGGTCCGATTTCACTAACCAGCTTGGACACCGAAATGATAGTCTGCGAGCGGATCAGAGAGAAAGGAATGAAACAACGAAAGTGAGAGAGATGAGCGGACAGGTGAGGACAAGAACGAGGTAAGAGAAACGGCTCCGATGAGGAACGTGGATGCACGTGTGCACAATCCACAATGAGCGACAAACAGAGATGGTAACGGGAAGGTGAAACGGACTGGTGAGGCATAGCACATGAAGGAGACACTAGACGAATGTACTCGAGTGAAACCATGTCCGAACATGTTATAAAATGTGAGTGACACGTAAACAGACGAACATGCTCGTGATTCGCTAAGCACCGATCGTGGTGAACAAAGAAATAGGTCGCAGAAAAGTAATGTGTAGGAATGGTTTCAGGATGCGTTTGGATGTAACGGTATGAGAACTGATAGCAACGGCCATTTTGGTGGTAAGCAATAGAGGGGGCAAATAGGCAATAAAACGCATAACAGATACAGTAAAAATCAGTCCTGTTGGTTGAAGATCACAGAATGAACGGTGAAGGGAAATTATTCTTGAAGGCGATTCGTCAAAAGAAGCACAAAGAAAGCCCGAACTGAAAATGAAGTTCGCCAGCTGATCACAAAATTTGAATGTCATAATTTCATTACAATTTTTTGATGAAAAGAAATAATCATCTCATAGTTTGGGTGCACTGGATGATGCTTCGAGATGTCTCCATGGGAGCGCGTGACATACTTAACACTGATGATGATGATGTGTTATGCCGCAGAGCTGCATACTACCGGGCGCGTCCCAAGGTTGCCAATAGGAAAACGGCCAACAAATTGGGGGTTAACTGGGTACAACCTTAGATCGTGATCATGGAATACTCTCTAGATATTACACTAGTGACTACTCATCTTTAAGCATATATGTTTGTACCTCATTGAATTGGAGACATGTATGCCGGAAACACAACAACAATGAAAATGGAGAGGAGAGTTGGGTGCGAATGTGGGAGAATGAGGTGAAACGATTTAAAATAGAATAACGTGAACAGAAAAAAATAATGTTTCAAAGATATTAGAGGTTGAATACGAAAGTCATCTCAGATACTCAGTGAAACTAAACCATATATATATATATATGTTATTGAACAGGTCTTCGTGACTATGGGGTTTACCGCGACTACTATTCATCAGATTTATACGTGATTAAAAACAGCCGAGAATCTCGAAGGTACAAGATATAAGAGATACAAGGGACCCAAGACTACCAAACTTGCTACTGTGAGTATTATCTTAACCTTTCAGAATTTCGGGTAAAATCAGTTGTGCTCGACTATCAACTTGCTTGTGAAAGAGGATTGACAGCGAGCACACAATTCGCAGCTCGTTCTCAATCATCAAACAGTTGACTGGATTGATTAGTTTGTTAGATGCACTTATTTGGTGCACACAGCATGAATGTAGACCGAACGAAAAGTAACATGTTCAACTGTAGTTTAAATTCCATTTCGGACTTGAGAAAAATCCGTGATATCAGAGTTCACAAAAAAGCGAATTGGAAAATCGACTCAAAAAGACGCGGTAGCAGAAGTTAATCGCATCACATGAAACAGAACATTGAGGATCACCTAACGAGTCTGAATATTATACCGGACTCTACACACAAAAACCGTTGATGGATGAAAGAGAGTTAGTCTGCTAAATTTTACTCATAACCCAGTTAATAATCGTTTCTCCTACACTCTTCGGGGTTGCGCCTCCCGCTACAAACTCACTATTTGTTCATTTGTTGGATGACCCCGTTTATAATTGCGTAAGTAATTCACAAACCACCACTGCTTTTTTTCACAGATATCCTAACCCCGTTGCCAACCGCATCAGTTGTCTCGTTTGCGATAAAAAAATTACTACCACCGCAGTATGCAACACTGGGGGTGGAAATACTTGTGCACAAAACATCTTACTTTCTTATGTTTTCTTTTCACGAGATATAATGATCAACAATAAGCAATCATAGAAATAAGAAAAATGAATGCAAGATCAAGCGCTAAAAGCATGAGATATATATTTTGCTGCATTTTACGTGCATGAAACAGAAAAAAGGCTGTAAAATATAAAAACGTACACCCAAAAGTAAAGCCAATTACCTGTAGATGAACCCGATGGAAACCGGTTCGTCCGTAGTTCTCATAACTGGACTTCCACAGTTTGTACAGCAAACCACAGGCTTCCATACGTATCAGATTGTTTGGACTTGGTTGGACATTTCCGGAACCATTATTCACTTGCGAAGTCGGGACTGAATAAGATCGATTGGAAAATGATCTCATCTTACCAGACGAATTTGAATTGGGGTGCGGTTGGAGACTGTTTCGTAGGTCCGCTAATGGCGGTGAAGGGAGTAGCTGATTGGCGCAGCGAAGACCGGTCAAACAAATAGAACTAAGGATTTCTGTGGACTCGGAGAAAAGTACCTGAGCAAATAAAAAATGAAGGCGAATCACAGAGTGCGTAGATTATGTTCTGTGTAGTTCAGTCTCAATTCAACGGTGAACAGAAACAAACTAACCGTAGCGGACAGCAAAACTGCTGCATGAATAAAATATGACTCATATTGTCATACCTTGATCAGTACAACATGAATAGCACTTTTTAGAAAAGGGTGTACGATAACCGCAGTTTATGATTTCCAATCAACCACCGGCACTAATCACAATGCACTTTTGTGCACCGGTTTCGGATGCTGTCTCATGACGGCCCAGGGTGTAGGACAACAGGCACAATGCTGAAGATCACATTCCATCGCAAACAAGAGGACATAAAGGATATTTGGGCGTTTTCAGAGAGCAAAAGATAATGCATAGGTATGACGCAAGATCATGAAAACCGTCGATTAGAGTTTTTATAGCTTGAAATGAAAGGACATATTCTGACAACCAGTTTGTTTAAAAACAAATAGGAATTTTCGTAACAAAAGCTTGCTTGCTGAATCTTTTGCTCCCTGTTAGGATAGGAACCAAGAAAACTTGGTATCTATTAATTCAACAATCACAAAGGTGACAGTTCTCTTGGATATCAAATTGGTACCCAAAAGTGTTACAGTGAAACATCAGGACAGCTCACTGATTTGGTAAGTGAATTCCGAATAGCTGATCCAGTAATTTCATTATAATTCAAAAAGCCTCAGTATGATCGGTGGTGGGTGTCTTGGGTCGCCAAATGCTCCTATGCGAACAATCGTCGGCTGAAGATGACCTACCTCCAAGTGACCGGGCCTTTTTGGACACAGAGTAGTGTGAAATATAATAATAATAACTACACTAGCCTGATACTGCATTTCAAAGACTCCTAACGTATTTGCACCCTATGTGTATAAGGCTTTCTGATTTATTACACAGAATAGGGTTACTGCGGCTCACCCATAGAGGAGCACGCGGATGACGCATTGACCTTACTAATAATTCACAGTAGAAAAGTATACTACTCGCAAACGAGAAGTAGACAAACATGCAAAACGAATAATAACCGAAAACGACAACCAAAATAAGAGTTTAGCAAAGCACCTTTGCAAAGCGATTCACAAATACGCGCAGGGAGGCGAACGTATGTCTCATGAGACATTCCGAGGGGTTGTTTGCCAACAGTGTAACGTAAACTTCCAAGACTCCAGTGAACACTGGATCTGACGGTCTACATGTTTCCAGTTGACGCTAAAAAAAGAGAATATACACGAGAGGATCAAATCAGCGTCAACTCGTGATGCAAACAGGTGACAACCGCACAAAGTGGAAAATAGTGACCAATAAACAGAATGAGTAAGCTTTTGATACGCATAAAAAGCACATTTAGAGTTTCTGTATACCTCGGGAAAACAGAGCTCCATGATGCCGAGTGCGTTCTCAGGTGCCGGTTAGAGGAACGGCCATCATCTCGGGGATAACCGTGAATAAGGTGGACTTAAGAGCCCCAAATAAGTGGTCACGAATGATCAGCGGCAGTGTATGAGGATGTGGTGAGTTTACCTCTTGGCAGGGGTTCTCCGCATTGCACATATCTGCGGACAATGCTGTGGCCCGCTACTTAATATGACTATTGTCTCTTATCGGGATTCATTGTTCCACAAGTTTTTCCAGAATCTGGCATATCGCTGCTGCCTTGCATTCCGCGCTGGGTTGTGCAAAGGCTGGAGTGCACCCACGAACAATACCTACTTTGGACTGGGAGACCGAGTAGAAGAACAGCCCACAAAGCATACAGTGATAAACTTCTGGAATCATATGTCTCTACAGTCGACATTTTCTTAACTCGGCAAACAACATTTCCGTACACACTCATTTTCCCCAAGCCCTCCACCTCCCTAACATAGAACCAGTCTCTAGTTCTTCACATGATCGTACTAACAGTATGCTCCAGACGGAAACTCTGCCGCTGTTTTCTCTTGTCCCACCTCGACTATCGTTTAAGTTTCATCAAATCCTCCAGCAACTGAAACCCTGCCTCGTCCTTGATGTCCATTCAAATTAGCCACGTTCAATGTGCGTACTCTGATGAGTATATAACAACAGGTGCGTTTCGCTCGCACGCTCGGGACCCTAACCATCGATGTGTTTTGCACCCAAGAGACTTGCTCCAGCTCCATTACCCGGTTCACATTCCCATCCAACTAATGTGAGAAGATTCACCTACATCTCTCTGGGGACTATGAGGTTGCGGCTTCTGATCTTGGTAGTGTTGCGGTGGCTCTTTGTGGGAGAGCTGAGTTCGCGCACCTAGGATCTCAATTGACAGTGAGTTGTGCACAATGAGACTCAGAGGTTCGTGCAAAGTATGCAATCGTCGACCAGATAGACGAAACTTGTTTGTTGTGTCCTCGAATATAGCCGTTATCTACAAGATCTCTTGCGTAAAGTGAAACGGGCTGATTTCGAGTGAAGTGCATCTGGGAGGTCCGCAGGAACTAGACTTCTCTGGTTCGGAAAACGGGTAACGCCTTTTCATCGCCAGTACGAACTTCAGACGTTTCAACTGCCGGTACACCATTTGGCGAT